GTACTGAGCATTTCTGTCATAATTAAATGCTGACTTTTGTCAAATGATGTTTCTCTACCAACTGATATAATCACGTTATTTTTCTCCCTTATTTTCCTAACATGATAAATTCTAATGACTGATTTTTCAATGGTAAAACAACCTCATATTTCTGAGTAAAACCTGAATTGTTCATGCTGTTTTGTCTCTTTCATATATCACTGAAGTTGATTTGATTTTTTCTTTTCATATTTCACATGAGGTTATTGGTCTACAATATTTATTATGTCTCATAATGTCTCTGTCTGGGTTTGGCATCAAGGTGATGCTAGGATCATGATGGAAGTTGAGAAGTATTTCCTCCTTGCTTATTTTCTGAAAAAGTTTTTGTAAAGGTGATACTACTTCTTTCTATAAAAAGCTTTATAATTTCACAATGGAGCCAACTGGGCCTAAAGTTTGCTTTGTTGGAAGTTTGTAATTAAGAATTCAAAATCTTTAACTGATGTGTGACTATGTTTTCTGTTTCTTCTTGTGTCAATTTTAGTAATTTCTGTCTTTTTTTTTTTTTTTTTGAGGCAAAGTCTTGCTCTGTCACTCAGGCTGGAGTGCAGCAGCACAATCTTGGCTCACTGCAATCTCTGCCTCCTGGATTCAAGCGATTCTCTTCCTTTAGCCTTCTGAGTGGCTGGGATTACAGGCATGCGCCACAACCCTGGTTAATTTTTGTATGTTTACTAGAGACAGGGTTTCGCTGTGTTGGCCAGGCTGGTCTGAAACTCCTGACCTCAGGTCATCTGCCCGCCTTGGCCTCCTAAAGTGTTAGGATTATAGGTGTGAGCCACTGTGCCTGGCCATCTTTTTTTTTTTTTTTTTTTTTTGAGACAGGTTCTTTCTCTGCCACCCAGGCTAAACTGCAGTGGCACAATTATAGCTCACTTAAGGGATCTTCCTGCCTCAGCTTCCTGAATATCTAAGACTCTAGGGATGTCCCATCATACCCAGCTAATTTTTTTCAATGTTTTGTATGTTTTATGATTTTTCATATTATGTCATTATCCTTTCAATGTCCATGGAATTAGTAGTAATGCCACCTTTTTCATTCTCAATATTGGTTACTTGTATTTCCGCATTTTTTTCTGACTACCCTGGTTACAAGTTATTTGTTTTTTCATTAATCTTTTCAGAGGACCAACTATTGGTTTCACCGACTTTATGAATTTATTCATTCATACTCTGTATCACTGATATCCTCTCTTAATTTTTTCTTCTGCTTACTCTAGGTACATTTTGTTCTTCTTTATCTTAAAAAGAATCTATATTGAAAATCTGATTTTCAACTATTTACCTTTTCTAATATAAACATTTACCATTTTATAAATATCAACTAGGCACTTTGGGTGGCTGAAGCAGGAGGATTGTTTGAGGCCAGGAGTTTGAGACCAGTATCTCTACTAAAAGTTTAAAAAATAAGCCAGCTGTGGTTCTGTGCACCTGTAGTTTTAGCTCCTTGGGAGGTGAGGCAGGAAGATCACTTGAGCCCAGGAGTTTGAGGTCACGGTAAGCTATACTGGTGCCAGTGCACTCTCACCTGGGCAATGGAGTGAGATTCTATATGCCCCCGCCCAAAAAAAATACACACACACAGAATAGGTGGAGCTAATTGAAAGAATTGTCCACTGATTAAAAGAATTGTCCAAGTTTTCTATATTTTTTACTAAAATTTTTATCTACTTATTTTATCAAACACTGAGAGATAAATGTCGAAATTTTTAGGTATAACGGTGGGGTTGTCAATTTCTCCCTTCAGTATGTCCGTTTTCTTTTGACGCTATATTTGTAAATACGGTTTCATTTGATCATTATGTACGTTTGATGATTTGATTCTACTGTCATTAAAAATTGTCCTCTTTTTCTCTTGGAAATCTAATTTATATGAAGATACCCAAATCAAATCACTCCTGGGCTCAAGTGATCTTCCTGCCTTACCTCCCAAGTAGCTAAAACTACAGGTGCACAGCAAAACAACTGGCTTATTTTTCAAACTTTTGGTAGACATACTGGTCTAATTATTTGTGTTTACAAAAGTCTTTTCCTTCATCTTTTTGTTCTTAAATTATGCATAGTTAATGTCAATTTCTTATAAAAAGGTAGTTAGCATCTAACTTATGGAGTTTGACAACCTCCATTTTTAAAGGTGATATTAAATCTATTTACATTTAGTGTAACTCTGGATGCTGTAGAGTTGAGTCTACCACATTGCCTTCTGTTTCCTATTTGACTATATGTTCCTTGTTCTTTTCTCCTCCTTTCTTGATGCCTCTTCCCGTTTTTCTGGATTAAGTATTTTTAAATGTTCCATTTTATCTCTTCTGGCTTACCATCCATTCCTTAAGTGGGTTGCTCCAGAGTTTATGTGTATCTTTAGCTTATCACATCCTAACTTCAAATAATATTCTAACAATTTGCATATAACACAAGAACTTCTATTTTCCCATCCGTTGTTTCACTATTTTATTACGTATTTTATTTGTATATGTGCTGTACACTACAGAATTAAATGTTCTTATTTCTTCTTTAAGTAGTCAATTAGTCTTGTAAAGAAATTTTTTAAGCGAAGGAAACAAATATTTTCTATTTACTCACTTATTTACTGCTTATTGGGTTCATCACTTCTTTATATAGTTTCTGGTTTCCATTTGCTTTTATTTCTGACTGATGAGCTATGTCAGGCTAGTGAAAAGCAGGAATTGTGCTCCATTTGTCTCTTAAACCAGTGATCTCTTTACATAGCACCTGAAACTTTGGAAAGTGCATTACTAGAAGTACAAGTAACATCAAGGGACCCACAGAAAGGCCAAGCCACTCTGCCTAGTCACACTCAGAAGAATTTTACAAACATGGTACCATGGGTCATCAAGGTCAAACAGGTATTTTCCAAAAGGTTAAATAAAGAATTTTCATTTAAGAGAGAACCGTGTTAGAAAAAGCTCACTGGTATAAACCACCTACACATATCCCAGCGATGGCAAGAAGTGCACTGTACATGAAGTGTGGGATTGGGGCAAAGGGACTGAAGGGGAAGATCTGGGCCATATCTTTAAGCATCATGGATGTCATAGGAGGGACTCTGGACTTAATCTCATCAGCATTGGGAAAGTATGCACCAGGGCAGTGGCATGGGCACGTGTGTACTGAAAGGATGACACAGAGCAAGTCTGTCAGCAGAGAGGCCGGCTGGGCAACTCTCTCTACAGTGACAAAGCATGCAGTGGATTGCAGGGACATCTCAGAGGTCCAATCCACAGGGCTTGGGGACCACTTAGGCTTAGGAATAACAGAAAAGGAGAATTAGTGACATCAAATCTCAATCTCAAGAGTAGGGCAAAGAACCACGGAAACCAAAAGAAAGGGAGCAGGGGCCACAGGCTGGGGGGCAGGATCTACACAGCGCTTCAGCTGACCACCCACGCTTCCAAACCTCTGTGTGCAGCAAACCACACGGGAGCATTTTTCTCATCTTCAATTGTCATTTAGAGCTGTAGGGGCCATGACGTGAAAGCCAGATATCAACAGGGGGAAAAAAAGACGAACTCAGTGACAACCTGTGCCGCTTCCAAAAATTATTTATATGGGCAATGGCAGCAGGAGATGAAGAGATGAAAAACACACACCAGGCTCATGATGAAGCGAATTTAATGCTCAGAAAGGGCCTGAAATACTCTACCCTCAGCAGCAGTCCTGGCCAAGCTTCCCCAGGGGCAAGTGCGTTAATGCTTTATACAAATTCAAAACAGAGGCGAGTCTTGGCATCAAAGGCTCTTACTCTGAGGATTGAAAAAGTGATAGATGATGAAATGTGACGCTAAAAGGCCCAACTAAACTATTAATTCTCGCTGAAGGTATTCTCCAATGGCCGGGAAGAAAAAGTCTTTCCTATAAACTAAAACCACATTCATTTACAGCTGTATCATTTTAAAGGGATTTTATGTCAACATTAACATGGACAATGACATACCTCTATCTCACGCTGCTGCAGACAGGGCCCACTGGAGAAGCAGGGGCTGCATGGGATGCCCCCAGCACCCCATCCGAGGATGGACAGGTAAGCATTTAAATAATACCCACCTGGCCCTCCCTACTCTGATAGGCAAGGCCCAGCTGGACAGGAACACCGGGAAGAGCTCGGATATGAAGAGCACCTGCTTCCCCAAATGCTCCAGGCACTGCGGTAGGAATGGGAGTCACAGAGGGTCTCCGGCTGGCAGGAGCTCCACCCCAGCTTCCAGACTCCATGACTCCAACTTCGCCAGAGGGCAAAGTTTTGGATGAGAAACTGTCATTCTCCTACCTCAGAAAATAATATCCTTAGTATCTCTTGCCACTTCTGGGTTTCAAGTGTACAAACTGTCCAATTTCTTTCTCCCTGAAGGAAGACTAGGTCTGGAAAGCAGGCAGGAGAGAAAGCCTCTGTATGAGGAGGGCCTTCTGGGCAGAAATGACCTGACGCCCAGATGGCTGGGAGCTCCACAAAGTACCCATATTACAGGGATGCCAGGAGTGACGCCAAAGAGATGCTGGACTTGTTCTGGGGTCCCTGAGACGTGTGTTCTCCACTGAGCCCCCCCGCTAACAGGAGAAGCAAGCCAGAATTGAGCCAGGCTCGGCTGAGTGGGAAATGTGTGTGCACAGTGAGAAACACACACACACACACACACACACACACACACACACACACACACACACACACACACACACACACGAACCCTGCAACCATCAGCATTATCATCATGGCACACTATGACGTATAAAGCCCATTCACTCACGGCCACCCAAGAGGCAGTTCTCAGGTAACACCTGGCTTCCTAATGAAAAACCTACAGCCCAGAGAGGCTAAGCCACTCGGGCCATGGGCCCGGATCTGACGGGAGGCAGGACAAAAACACGCTGAGGTCAGCATTCCAGACGCAGCGCTGTTGAGGCGCTAGAACACCACCACTGCGCAGCAGGAAGGCATTTACCTGGATGCTGGGAGGGTACTGACTCGGGTGAAAAACACAGACGGTTCAACTTCTACATGCAGCCCCAGGGAGAGATTCCTGTAATATCCTTCAGTGTGGCCTGGGCCTCCAGAGTATTTGAAATTCAGGACAGCTTCCAGGGTCTAAAAAGATGTTAAAAAAACAAAACAAAACAAAACACACACGTTAGTACTCCCTAGTTTAATCCACCAGGAGGCAGGTGGCTTCACTTAGGAAAAGTCTAAAGATAATCCCATCTTGCCACGTCATCAGCACTGGCTGACGCACACCCCCGGCGGGCGCCATCTTCTAGCCACGTCATCAGCACTGGCCGACTCACAACCCCCAGTGGGCGCCATCTTTCCCGTGATGACCCAGAGTCTACAAAATTCTCAAGTCTGTGCGTGCCAATGGAAAGGGCTTCCACAGCTTCTCCGTGGTTAAATACGGCATTTTTTGTTTTTGTTTTGTTTTGTTTTTAGAGACGGAGTCTCGCTTTGTCACCCAGGCTATAGTGCAGTGGCATGAACTCGGCTCACTGCAACCTCCGCCTCCCGGGTTCAAGCAATTCTCCTGCCTCAGCCTGCCGAGTAGCTGGGATTACAGGCGCCCACCACTACGCTGGGCTAATTTTTGTATTTTAGTAGAGATGAGGTTTCACTATGTTGGCCAGGCTGGTTGAACTCCTGACCTCAGGTGATCCACCTGCCTTGGCCTCCCAAAGTGCTAGGATTACAGGCATCAGCCACAGCGCCCAGCCTAAATACGGCATTTTAGAGAGAAAAACACATTTCTATGAGCATCATTTCAACATAAGATGAGGTGACAGGTGGAGTGGAGTGCTTCCATCCGGAAGGTCGAGTCACTTGGGCTGACAGTGAGTAAAAGCTGACAAACCCCACAGTCAGGATGTTTCCCTGAACCCATCCAAAAGATGAGTTCACAAGGCAACGAGGCCCTCCAGGAGGGGCGGGGTGCTGCACAGCAGGGAGTGCCCATGTGCTCCTGCTGGGGCCCAGTGAGAGGTAAGGAACAGACGTATGGGAAGATGCCAGCCATGGGAGTGGCACTGCACGCAGGAGGGCTGCGAATGGAAGGGGAACATTATAGCTTCTCTGCAGCCACAAGTACAGGGCAACACCAGAGGAATGTGGAGCCTGGGGGGTACCCACAGTAACCATAGCAACAAAAAATCCAACCCGGTTTCCCTCGGACTAAAGGACCTCGCCTTCCCCAGGAGCATCTTGAAGCAGCAGGCACAGCAGATCCAGCCCAGGGGCCCAATCTGGCCACTGCTTGTTTTTGTGTGGCCTGAGAGCTAAGAACAGTTTTTACATTTTTTACAGCTTGTAAAACAAAACAAAACCAGAGACGAATATGCAACAGAAACCACATGCGGCTGGCAAAGCTCAAAGTACTTACCAAAGATTTGCAAATAAAACCCAGAGGAAAACATAGGAGCAAATCTTCATGATCTTGGGTTAGGCAAAGGTTTCACGGATATGACACCAAAACCATAAACAAAATGCAAAAAAAAAAAAAAAAAAAAAAAAAAAATAAAAGCTTCTCTACCGTTAAATAGGGACAATAATTAATACGTATCTCACTAAATTCCTGCAGATTTGATGAGCAAATACAGTGACAGAACAAGAAGTCACTCATTAAATCAACTCCTTTCTTCCCTCCAAACCTACCCATCTGACACCATGATGCAGCATGGCTTAGAATTGGAGGAAATGGGTTTCATTCCCATTTCTTCTAGGTTTTGTTTTTTATTCTTGTAATGTGGCAAAGTATGCATAACATAAAAGTTACCATTTTAAAATTGTAAGCGCACGGTTCAGTGGTATTATGCATATTAACTTTGTTAATCAACCATCTCCGTCATCCATCTCCATCTCCAGAAATTTTTTATCTTCCCAAACTGACCCTCTGAACCCATTCAACATAGACTCCCAGTCTCCCTTCCCTAGGCCCTGACACCCACCATGCTGCTTTATGTCTTCTTGAACTTGACCACTCTAGACACCTCACATGAGTGGAATCCTATAGTACTTGTCCTTGTGTGACTGGCGTATTTCACTTAGCATCATGTTGTCAAGATTCATCTGTGTTGAATCATGGGTCAGAATTTCCTCTTTTTTAAGGCTGAGTAATATTCCATTATATGTATGCACTGCGTCTTACTCATCCATTCAATCTGTCAATGAGCACTTGAGGTGCTCCTACCCCTTGGCTCTTGTGAACAGTGCTGCTATGGTTGGACGATACCAAGACCCTGCTTTCAGTTCTTTGGGATACATGCCCAGAAGTGGAATTTCTGAATCGTATGGTTATGCTCTGTGTAAGTCTTTGAGGAGCCACCATATTGTTTTGCACAGTGGCTGCACCATTTTACATTCCCACCAGTGGTGCACAGGGTTCCTGTTCTCCCACATCCTCACCAAACACTGCTATTTTCTCTTTTTGTGATAATGGCCATCCTAAGGGGCATGAAGGGGTAGTTCATTGTGGTTTTGATTTGCATTTCCCTAGTGACGAGTAATGTTGAGCATCTTTTTATGCACTTATGGTCCATTTATGTATGTGTTTGTGGTCCATTTATGTATCTTCTTTGGAGAAATTTATATTTGAGTCCTTCAGTCTTATTTTAAAAGTCCACTATTCCAAATTCCTCTCACCACTCCTCAAGGTGTCTTTCATGGCTACGTATTGACAGGTTCTCTTCAATATTTGTACTGCCAGAGAAACGCCTTCACTGATTCTCTCCACCTATGTAAATATTACTTCTCCTTGACAGCCCAAATAAAGCCATGCCTTCTCCTTACTTACAAATGGCTCAATAAAATACATATTTTTTTAACTGAAAGGATCATATTTTGGCCTCACCAAAATCCCAAATCCTTTTTCATTCCCCTTATTCCCAAGCACCACTCTGTCAACTCCAAAGGGTTGCTGATTTCTTGTGAACGTGTCTTAGACCTCTTAAATTGCCCTTGTCATCAGCAGAAGGTGAGACTCGACACACGTACACTCAATAATTCTATCAAGACTTTCTGAGTTCACTGACTTTCATCTGTTTGATCTATTTTTTCGTTCATCTTTCAAACACTTCCTGGGTATCTTCTGAGTGCCAGTTCTGCACTTAGTACAAGATGAAGATGTGGTCCCTGATCTCAGCAAGCTCAATAAATGCTGAGTGAGTCAATGTATGAATAAATTAACTAATAAATAAATGAAGCCGACCAACCCCCTAACATATATACAGCATATTCCTCAAATTGCAGGCATAGTAGTCATGGAAATAAACAAACTCTCAGTAATGGCCTTGAAAAGCCAAAATCTGTGAAGTACCAACAAATGTCACCCTGGCTTTTTTGTTTGTTTGTTTTTTAAGGTAAATTTAAAAGCCACCTACAGGGAGTGATGTAGAAGAAATCACCTGGGGAATGAACAAAAAGTACACAGAGACAGATCATTGTCAAGTACCACATCCCCAAGAAGGAACAGTCTGTGTTTCTATTTTCTGGGAATTCACTATTTCTGTATTCTGTAGAAAACCAAAAAAAAAAAAAAAAGGAAAACAAAAGATAATTATGAGAGGAAATATCTAATTTTTAAAAATCAAGCACAGAAATGGTATATTAGTTCATTCTCACACTGCTATGAAGAACTGCCTGAGACTGGGTAATTTATAAAGAAAAGAGGTTTAATTGACTCACAGTTCTGCACAGCTGGGGAGGCCTCAGGAAACACAGAATCATGGCAGAACGGGAAGAAACAGGTCTTACATGGCGGCAGGAGAGAGTGAGCAAGTATGTGAAGAACTGTCAAACACGTATAAAGCCATCAGATCTTGTGAGAACTCACTCGCTGTCATGAGAACAGCATGGGGGACACTGCCCCCATGATCCAATCACCTCCCACGAGGTCCCTCCCTCAGGGATTACAATTCAAGATGAGATTTGGGTGGGGACGCAAAGTCTAACCATATCAAAAGGTTTGTTGAAGTTCAATGTCACTGCCTTTCCTCTTTGAGATAAAAACAAAAACCAGAAATAACAACAAAAAAGGCCTCCTCAGTCATTTAAAATTAGAATATTTTAATTAGAACATAAGGGAAGATGGGAAGTCAAAAGACACAGGATGTCTAAGCCCTTTTCCTCAACTGAAGAGACTTCATAAGATGTTCCCTTCTGAGAGCATTTTTCAATCTTTACTTTGACAGAAGACTACTGCAGAAATCAGTAACAAGCACAACAAAAATGTTTATTTTCTAGGCACACCATTTACTATTCTAGTTAATATGAAAGGACTGTCAGTGAGTACCTTGTATTAGGGAGCACCTACTCTGTGCCAAGTGCTGCACTAAGTGACCTATGCACCCAAATGCAATGGTCATGAGACCCCCACAAGGGAAGTGCTGCTTTCACCAATGAGGCTCAGGGCACACCCAGGAAGCAGCACAGGCAGGAAGTGAGCAAAGAGCAATGCACCTGCACAGCCCACTCTCTTGCCATTGAGGCAAACTGTTCAGAATAGCATTCATTCACCCATCTAATCATTTATTCACTCACTCTGGACAGATGTCTAGTATGTGCCAGGGACTATGACACCTAAGAAGAAAAAGGCACAGTACTGCCCTGGGGGCCCTCGAGTCTCATAAAAGGAACAAGCCCAGAGGCCTCTGAGTAAATTGTGACATGTTGTGTCATGGATAAGTGTATTAGGATATATGAGATACAGGAGGAGAAAGGACTACACATGCTGGGTAGGCAGGAGTTGGAAAAGAAGGAACAACAAACCAGCAAGGAAGACAGGATTAGATAATCATCAAATTGAAAATGGATAAAGAATAGAGAAAAACAATTATATTAAGACCTACTTCTTGAAAATATTAATTAATGTGACAATCCTCTAAGTTAAGTTGATCAAGGAAAAAGAGAACAACAAATTACCAACATCAAGAATGAAAATGATGATTGGTACAGATCCTACAGACATTAAAAGGACAATTAGGGAAAAGTGTCAACAATTCTGTGCCAATAGATTCAACAACTTAGATAAAATGGACACATATTACCAAAATGAATCAAGGAGAAACAGAAAATCTGAAGAGCCTCATGCCAACTGAAGACATTGC